AAAAAAAAAAACCTGAAAAGCAAACAAATGAACGAAGCTCTTTAAGCCCTGTTTCCAGTGGGGACAACAACAGCATTTGCCTCAGAGGGCTGGAATGATGAATTAATGCACCCAGCCTGGGCACATTAGTGCCCCAGTATAATTGTTATTATTAGTTGCCATCGAGTCGATTCCAACTCTTGGGGATCCCATGTGTCACAGTGGAACTGTTCCATAGGGTCTTCATACACCGTTCAGAAGCAGATCACCAGGCCTATCTTCCAAGGCACCTCTGGGTGGGTTCAAACCCCCCACTTTTTGGCTAGTAGTCAAGCACTTAAGCGTTTGTACCACTCAGGCTCCTGCCCCAATATTAGCTATGATTAAAGCTTGATAAATACTAAGTGCTAGAGAATTTCACACATGGCCTCTTTTAGCCCCATGGCGACCCCAGAAGGAGGGCTTATCGTCACGTAGTGGCTCAGAGGCGCAGTAAGCATCAACACCCCACAGCTGGAAAGAGGCAGAGCAGGGGGGTAGACCCTAAACCAGCTTTTCCTGCCATTCCTCTGCTCCCCACCCCCAGCAGCAGCCCATGTTTCCATACACTTTCTCATTCTGAAACAACTCTGAAGAGTTCTCTCTCCCACTAATGACCACAAACTGTTCTGTGAACAATTTTTTCAAAAACGAGGCAAATCAAAAACTTATGACCAAAAATAACTGACAGCAAACAGCCCCAGAGTTGTCTGTCCCCTGACCCTGAGTCTTGACCACACAGCTGTTTTGGAAATCTCTGTGGGCCAAAGCATGGCTTTAAAGTAACTATGCAAAACATATGGTTGGAAAGGCCAACGGGAAAATAACCAGTGGAGGCTTGTGCATAAACGTCCAGGACCACTGTGGCTCTGGCAAGCCACACCCCTGTGCTGCCAAGAGGGGAGGCTAGTGTGCAGGGCCAGCCAGTGGCCACTATGGGATGAGGAGAAGGGGTGCTGGGGGCCCTGAGGCTTCCTGAAGGCAGAGTCTCTGGGGCCAGGACTCTGGAGGGGAAGGGCACCACACACCTCTACACTGCTCCCTGAGGACTGTGATTTCTTCTAACAGGGATCAACAGCTGTCTGTTTTTTGTTTTGTTTTTTTTTAACACTCTGTATTCATTTCCTATGGCTGCTGTAACAAATGACCACAAACTTTCGGATTAAAACAACAGAAATTTATTCTCTTACAGTTCTGGAGGCCAGAAGTCTGAAATCACTGTCACTGGGCCAAAATCAAAGTGTCAGCAGGGCCATGCTCCCTCCAAAGGCTCTAGGGGGAATCCTTATTTGCCTCTTCCGGCATTCCTTGACTTGTGGCCACATCACTCCACTCTGTCTCCATCTTCACATTGCCTCTTTGTGTGTGTGTATGCATGGGTATGTGTGTGCGTGTGTGTATGCATGTGTATGTGCATATGTATGCATGTGTGTTTTGAGTATGTGCATGTGTGTGCATGTGCATGCATGTGTGTTTAGTGTGTATATGCATATGTGTATGTGCACGTGTGCAGTGTGTGTGTGTGTGTGTGTGTGTGTGTGTGAACTCCCTCCACCTCCCTCTTGTAATTGGATTTAGGGCCCACCCAGATAACCCAGGACAATCTCCTGTCTCAAGATCCTTACTAAATCATATCTGCAAAGACTCTTTTTTGCCATATAAGGTCACATTCACAATTGCCAGCAATTAGGCATGATTATCTTTTGCGGCCATTTACCACACACCTGCTTCACCTCTGGAAAGCTAGAAATGTTGGAGAAGGTGGAACAGGAGAAAAGCGCACAGGGGACCTGGGAGGAATGCAAGGAGACCTAAGGGAGAGCAGGTCCGTGTGTGGGAGGGAGGCCAGCCCTGGGCCTCAGTGCCAGAGCTCGATTAGGGAGGCCTGTAAGGGGAAAGGAGCCCTGGTGGTATAGTGGTTAAGCACTTGGCTGCTAACCAAAAGGCTGGAGGTTCCCCTTAAACAAACTATAGCCCCTGGAGTCTTCATAAAACCAAACGATAGTTTAGCTTAACTACTAAAGAATGTCTGCCTTGAACATTGTGCTCTTTTAAGAACTATATGGGATCAAATTAAGAGTAGTAACTCGAAATATTAGATAGGAACCTTAGGGGGCATTGAGTTTATATTAATGGGGGAAGAACAACTCAGAAAAGGAGGGTGAGAATGGTTGCAGAACTAGAATGTAGTCGGTGTCACTGAATTGTACATGCGGAAATTGCTGAGCTGTATGTTTTACTGTGTATATTCTCAACAATAAAATATACAAAAAAAAAAAGAGAAAGGAAGGAAAACTCCTTTTCCAACTACGTATCTGTGTGAGGACAAGTTTTCTTTATATACTTCAGCCAGAACAACATACTGGAACAGATTGAGTACAAAAGCAAACGTGAGACTCCACCAATCTTCTGTTAAACCAGTCATTAAAGAGATTGACAAATACTAAACAATTAAAAAAAAAAAAAAGTTGGAGGTTCCAACCCACCAGCCACTCCATGGGAGAAAGATGTGACAGTCTGCTTCTGTAAAGAAAACAGAAAATCTTTGGGGCAGTTCTACTCTGTCCTATAGGGCTACTATAAGTCAGAATCAACTCGATGGCAACAGGTTTGGCTTCTGTTTTTGGGTGTGAGGGGAGGGGAGGGCCAGCTCAGTGTACAAAGCACGTGGGAGGAGGGCAGGCCTCCAACGGCCAGAGCCTAGGATTCTTGCAGGCATGAGGAGGGGCCGAGAGGCTTGAAAAGCAAGCAGCATGTGAAGAGCTCAATCCCAAACAGCTCAAACCAAGCTGCTGGCCTCAGTTCCACACCCACATGGACAGAGGGCCCCCAGCCCATCTCTGGACCTACGTCTCTCAGGGCTCCACTCAGCCCAGCCAGGCTCAGGCTGTCCCTTCCCACCCACTCCCTTGCAGGCCAGCAGTGCCCTGTTCTCTTGCTCCCTTGGCTGGCAAAGCGGCCACACAGCAGGTCCAACATGTTCAGGACAGGAGGGACGGCTCATGGAACACAGCCTCTGTGAGGAAAGCAGCCCCTACCCACCCTGACCACCTCCCACCCATGTCTACCTTACTCATAAACCCAATAAAAAAACACGTCCTGTTCTGTCCCTCAAGACAAGCGTCCCCTTAAATGAAAACAGGCAGGAACAGTATGTTGCTATCATTGCTCCCTGCCTTCTCTTCAGATTCCCCTCAAAGACGATCACAGGGCATTCGCAAGCTCTGCACTAGTAGATCCAAGTGCAGCTCAGTTGCAGCCCCCGGGGCTCCGCCCCAGAGTCCTCTCAGCTCCAGGATGGCCACCGAGAGTGGACCAAAAGCCCCAAGAGCAGCACCCCATAATCTGTGGGGGAGGGGTACTCTCACACCTTCCTCAAGCCCCATCAAGCCTGGGTCCCAGGGTGCAGGCTCGCCCAGGTGGTCAGCCCTAGGCCATCCATGCACCCTCTCCCTTATAAATGGCTGCCCGGTTTCTTGTGTTTTTAACTCACATTGGCTTGTTCTGCTACAGCACACCTCAGTCCAGGGGTGGGCAGACTCCTTTTGCAAAAAGCCTTGTTTAGGAAAAATAAAAATGCTGATGGAGCCCACAGGCGGGGGAGGCATTCACAAGAAAATGGCTTCATTGTGTAACATGGCAGAGAGGGAAGAAAACCCCACAACTTAGATAAGAGTATGGGTGAAATCACTGTGGACACATTTGAGGTAGCATATCCCGGAGGCCAGGTGGGCCAAAAGCTGGCTGCAGGCCACCTGTGCCATCTGAGACCATATGAGCACCAGCCCAGGAAAAACAGAGCATTAGGTCAGCTACTCGATGCAAAGGCTGTGCCGGCATCTCTGAGGCTAAGGACCTCCATATCAGAGGACCGTGACGGGGGCCAAGCCCATCCTCTGCTCTGCAATGCGCAGGCAGGAGGACACCATGAGCTCCAGGAGTCACACTCAGTGGAGATTGACCAGAAGGAGGGAAGAAGCAGCCGCCTGACTGTCCACATGGCAAACCCCCAAACATGGAGCGTCCAACCAGGACAGTGCCAGCAACAGGGCACTTACCACATTCCAGAAGAGTGGGTTGAAGGTGATGGTGAGGACAGCAGCCACAAAGCTGGGATCCGAGGGGTTCACGTAGCCCAGCAGCCGGATCATAACGTAGAGGTCTGCCTGCAGGGACAGAAGCAGCGTCAGCGGGAAGCCTGCCCAGGGCCCTGCAGCCAGGACCTGGAGTGCCTGAGGGGGGCAGGCCCCAGAACTCAGAAACAAAGTTACCCTCTGCGAACAAGCGGAGGTTTGGGAACACCCCCAAGTCCAGGAAAGCCTACTACAATGTAGTCTCATAAAACTGAAGATAACGAGCTGCAACTTAGTCAACTGTGTCGTGCCCTGTTAAAGGTCGCAGAGGAGCAGTGGGCATGGACGCTAGACAAGGAGAGCCCGTTAGCGGCCTGAGAGCGAACTGCCACCACACCTGGGGGCCGATGTGTGGGTCACCGCATGGCGCAAAGGGGACTGACCCACTGGGGTGCAGGTTTGCAGAGGCCCTAGAGAACACTCAGTGGCTGAAATGTGTATGAAGAGCCTCACTAGCAATCAGATGAAAACAGAACAATAGTAATGCACCTTTTCTCACCAGCTACCTCATCCCAAACGTAAACAACAGACAACACTGAGTGCTGATGAGGCTGGGCAATGGCTAGTGAAATTGCTTATGGGTGCTCTCCACACCCCACAATTTCACTCCCATGCATCTGCCCTTTTGGACCTCGTATGTGTGCAGGGACCACTAACAAACATGTTCCATCAACACCGCTTGCAACTGAAAAGATCAGAAATAGTTAGAAACAACTGAGGCATCCATCGACAGAAGAATGGAAGAAAAAATATGGCCTACTCCCAAGGTAGTTAAACAACAGATGTAAAAATAAATGAACTAGATCCACAGGCATCAATACGTAAAGTTCTCAAACACAGAATGTCAGACGAAAAAAGCAAGTTGCAAAGTTCATAGAGCATATACATAAATTTTCAGAGAACACACAACAATATAATGCTAAATATTCTTTGTGTGTGTGTGAAAAAGACTAACATTGAGATACACCAAGTTCAGGACACCTGTTGCCTCTAGACCAGGGCTGCTCACCCTCAGCACTTTGGGCTGGTCAGTCTGTTGTCCTGTGCATTGTAGGGTGTTTAGCAGTAGTACCTCCCCAGCTGTACAACCAAAACTGACCCCAGACATTGCCAGATGTCCTCTAGGGGCAAAATCACCCCCACTGAAAGCCACTGCTCTACAGACCAGAGAAAAGAATGACTGGAAACACTCAAGATTGGTTTCTTTCATGAAAAAAGATGGGGGACACAGGAAATTCTGGGTGGCAAGTCCTTTACTGAGTGCATGCATTATCTCTGGAGCCCTGGTGGTGCAGTGGTTAAGAGTTCGGCAGCTAACCAAAAAGCTGGCAGTTTGAATCCACCAGTCGTTCCTTGGAAACCCTACACGACAGATCTACACTGTCCTATAGGGTTGCTGTGAGTCGACAGCAACACGTTTTGTATTATCTCTGTACTTTTCTTTGGTTTTCATTTTAACAAGGACTTTAGAGGCCCAGAGCACTGAAAAGGCGGTGTCTCCCCCTCTCCAATTCAAAACAAAAGCACTAAATAGTGTAATAAGTGCAAGTCCACTGGGGTTCTGATCTTTCTCATAGTGTCTGCTTTGGTGTTGTGTTGTGTTTTGTTTGGGAATATAATAAATTCTTTCAAAAAATGCTCTGAATCCAAAGGAGAATGAAGAAAACAAGATACAAAGGAAAGATTAGTCCAAAGGTCTAACGGACCACAACTATCAGTCCAGTACAACTAGATGGTGCCCGGCTACCACCACTGACTGCTCTGACAGGGATCACAACAGAAGCTCCCGGACAGAGCTGGAGAAAAATGTAGAACAAAATTCTAACTCACAAAAAAAGACCAGACTTACTGGACTGACAGAGACTGGAGAAACCCTGAAAATATTGCCCCCGGACACCCTTTTAGCTCAGTAATGAAGTCACTCCCGAGGTACACCATTCAGCCAAAGATTAGACAGCCCCATAAAACAAAATGAGACTAATGGGGCACAGCAGTCCAGGGACAAGAACTACAAGGCAGGAGGTGACAGGAAAGCTGGTAACAGGGAACCCAAGGTTGAGAAGGGACAGTGTTGACGTGTCATGGGGTTGTTAACCACTGTCATAAAACAATATGTGTACTAACTGTTTAATGAGAAACTATTTGTTCTGTAAACCTTCATCTAAAGTACAATAAAAAAAATTTTTAAAAGCTCTGTCTCTCGTTTTGGGGTTGGGGTGGTTGGGTCGCCCAGCCCCGCAGGTGCAGCACCTGGGGATGAAGCCGAGGGCCCTGCCCACACCTGGATGCACCCTTCCTCCCTGCACAAGCAGCAGCAGCAGCAGCCTCCACTCCCATTCTTAGTTTACCAAGCAACCTTTCCCTGGTATAACTCAGCCTACCCAGACCCTTGGAGCCATCCAGGCAGCACTGCTGAGTGCACGCAATAGTCTGGAAATTCTTCCACATGGCCTGGCCCACAAGTGGGCCTCCTCTCCTGGTCAGACTTTGTACTTCTCAAAGGCAAGACCCGAAACTCCCTATGGGCATGAGGGTAGAGATCAGCAGATGATAGAAGTCCTAGAATACAGACCTAATGTTATGGATTGAATTGTGTTCCCTAAAAATACATACTGAAATCCTGACCCCTATACCTGTAAATATGGAGCCCTGGTGACGCAGTGGTTAAGAGCTTGGCTGCTAACCAAAAGGTCAGCAGTTCGAATCCACTAGCCGCTCCTTGGAAACGCTATGGTGCAGTTCGACTCTGTCCTATAGAGTGGCTGTCATAGATTGAATTGTGTCCTCCAAAAATACCTGTCAAGTTGGCTAGGTCATGATTTCCAGTATTGTGTGACTGTCCACCATTCTTTCATCTGATGTGATTTTCCTAGGTGTTGTAAATCCTCTGTCTACGATGTTAATGAGATGTAGATTCAATCTACAAGATTAATCTACAATTTAAGCCAATCTCTTTTGAAGTATAAAAGAGAGAAGTGAGCAGAAAGACAGGCGGACCTCATATCACCGAGAAAGCAGCGCCGGGAGCAGAGTGCATCCTTTAGACCCGGGATTCTGCGAGAAGCTCCTAGACCAAGGGAAGATTGATGATAAAGACCTTCCCCCAGAAGCAACAGAAAGAGAAAGCTTTCCTCTGGAGCTGGCACCCTGAATTCACACTTCTAGCCTGCTAAACTGTGAGAGAATAAACTTCTCTTTGTTAAAGCCATCCACTTGGTGGTATTTCTGTTACAGTACTAGATAACCAAGACAGTCGCTATGAGTTGGAATTGACTCATCAACAACAGGTTCGGTTTTTGGTATACCTGTAAATATGGTTGTATTTGAAAATAGGTTTTTCTTTGTTATGTTAATTATGTCATACTCAAGCAGGGTGAACTCTAAATCTAATCACTTCTGAGTTATAAAAAGACCAGAATGGACACAGAACAAACACCATGGGAGGCCAACAGAATAAACAGACAAGGAAAGACCTCCCTCTAGAGCCACACCCTAAATTTAGACTTCTGGCCTCCTGAACGGTGAGAAAATAAATTTTCTGTTCTTTAAAGCCACCCATTTGTAGTGTTTTGTTATGGCAACACTTGGAAGCTAAGACATCTGCCTACTAAATGAATGAACAAGCAAATAAACCAGCAAGAGAACTAAGCGAACATGTGGAGAAACAGCTGAGAGAAAAAGATGACCAGGTGAGCACCAACTGCATTAATAACAAATGGACAAAGGAAGGCCCACTGGGGGAACATGGAAAGAACAAGTGCAGTGCAGGCCCTGCCCAGGTTGACTGCAGCCTCAGTGTGCTCCCAGCGTACTGTAAACCACACTTTTTCTTCCAGGTCCATCTCCATCTTTCCTGAGGGTGTACCCCTAGAAGCCCTCGACAACACCACATCTGTAGAGGGCACGGTGGCCCTCAGAGGGTTGAACACCTTCTGACACCAAGCTCTCCTCTCAGATCAGTACACCCTTCCTTTAGCAGATCCTTGGGCTCCGACCAGGAACCTCAAGTCTCCCTGGATATCACACCACACAGAGAGGCCAAGTCACTCAGGAAGAGTGAAACCACCAGGGACACGCCTCAGAAATGGGGTGCCCTGCCTCACAGGGGAATACCAGCGTCTCCCAGTCAACAGGGCTGCCAGGACAGTGGTCCAGCCATGTGGCCCCAAAGCCTCCAGAACCTGGGCTGACCAGAGAACCAGCTCTACCTTCTCTGTTTGATAATACACACTTATTAAATTAAGTACCTCCTGAATTAATTCCAGTCCACAGTTGGGCTGGGGTAGGATGTGAGAGAAAGATCTATGGGGGAGGGAAAGATGGCCTAGGGACTGGGGAGTCCCAGCTCTGGTCATCACTCAGCCATTTAGAGGTCACCTCACCTTGCTGCTCCTCAAAAACCAAGCCAAACCTGCTGCTGTCAAGTAAATTCCAACTCAGCAACCCTGTAGGACAGAGTAGAACTGCCCCAGAGGGTTTCCAAGGCTGTAATCTTTACAGAAGCAAATGCCACATCTTTCTCCCAGGGAGTGGCTGGTGGGTTTGAACCGCCGACCTTTTGGTTAGCAGCTCAGTGTTTAACCACTCCACCACAAGGGCTCCTTTCACTGCTCCTTAGTCAGCAGAATTCCTCCAGGTCTCTCCCCTTTGCCCTGTTCCCCATCTGAATCCATGGCACATCCAATCACCCAGCCAAAACCATTCCTCTTGCCTCTTATCCACCACATATTCCAGGACCCTGTCACTAAGCCCTGTCCATCCCACCTTGTAAGTCACCATCTAGTCTGCCCCCTCCTTCCAGCCCCACCACTTACAGCATGGCCCACCCCAGGCCCACCCTGATGGTCCAGGGTGATCTTCCTCTCAAACATCTGCCCCATCTCCCCCATGACTTCCCACTGCTTCCAGTGTCACACCCTCATCCAGCGGGCTTCCCGAGCTTACTCTGCCATGCCCCTCACGCCCTGACCCCGGCTGGCTTACTGGGCTCACTCTGCCATGCCCCTCATGCCCTGACCCCACACAAGAT